TGGTGTTAACATCTCAAAACAACATGATTTAAATTAGGATTATACAAATCCCCACTGCCTCTTGTAACTTCACCCACGACAACTAACTGTGTCTGAATCACACTCAAGCCTTTCTTACTTTATGGCAAGAGCTGGTGGTGACCCTTACAATTTACTTTGCTTATTTGTTCCCTTTTGTAACTTCTGAACTTTTTTTCTCATGGAAGAACAAACAGATTGGCTTCTAACTACCTCAGAGACGGCACTTTTCCCAGAGAAATTGGACTGCCTGTGGCAACACCTGAGGCATGTCAGCTGGACAGCCCTGTCTGAGCATGGAGAGAATGGGGGAAAAAGGGGGAAAAGGGGGTCTTGGATCATTTACATGGAACACAACAGATGGTCACATGGAGACTCCTCCAGAGTTTGCTTTTGGTAAACAAAAAAATGAAGACACATCCTGCAGTTAAGTATTTTTAGCATCTCCAGGCATGGCAATATTTTGCCTTTCACAATAAAAGGTAATCATATAATTTCATTCTTTTATGCTTCACTTCCATTTGGGTGCTTTTCTGAAAAATGACAGGGTTAAAACAAAGGTCAGAAGGGACCAGCCAGCACTAAGAAAACCATCCCTGAGTCAGAAGGAATCAATTTAACTCTATTTTGTATCCATATGTATTTTTCTTCTCCTGTGTCTCCTAATATTCTCAGGAAGACTTCATTTGCCACTACTTCCCCCAATATTAATTTCCACCCTTTCAGTTATTCCCCTTCCTTTTAATTATTATTATTTTTATTTTAATTGCATCTTTTTAAGAAATTGTGCTGAGTGTGCCTACACATATACAGACTCACATATATTTTTGATTTTTAAAGGAAAAATCCACAGTTTGTTCTGGGGTGGTCACTTGTATAGGATTTTTTCTTCCTAAGTATAAATAAGTTCCATTATTTGACTGAAATCAGGAAAAAGCTGGAAAAAGCTTGAAGTCTGACTAAAGGCAGAGTGCATCATGAGCTCATAGCTGTATTTTTTGCCAACTATACCCAATATTCAGTGATTCATTGTTCACACAGGTGCTTCAAGAAAGGAATTAAGATGGAAATAAATACACCGAAAAAGCAAAGTCTTTCTGTAATTCAAATGCTCCATGAACACAATGGTTCCATATTTGAACATCATGACAGGAAGCATTATTTTATATTTGTGAAGATGACTTTGAGGCACCTAATGAAGATTTTGGGTTTAAAATTAGCTTTCACACACTTTCAAAAAAAAAAAAAAAGTCAAAGAAAAATACCTGAGAATAACTTTTTGTCCTTTGCCTGTAAATTTCATCCAAAAGAGGGAAATTAAAAATGCCAATAATCTAAATCTAAATTGGGCTTTAGGAAGCCATTCTAGTGAGGTGCTGGATATGCCCAGTTGTGTCTGTGTTCCCCCCAGCCAGCTCAGCTTCTAAACCCATGGGTTTAGTTCCTGTTCCTGGTTTTGGAGCCCCTGTGTCTGAGTCAGTCTGGAAACCAGTTCCCACTGCCAGGTTTTTAACATGGAGATCAGCACACAGGGCAATTAAAGAAAACAAAACTAAACACCACAACATAACACAACGGGGGAGAGAGGACAAGGAGGGGTGGGTCAGCAGAGTTTTCCAGTGTGAGGAAAACAACACATGTTTTCCCTTGCCCAGATTCCAAAAGAGCTGAATCAGTTTGTTTTTCCAAATAACAGAGATAGCAGGCATGAAAAATTTCAGTCCAAATGATTCAAACCTGGCAAAAAAAAAAAAATATATATATGTGAGCAATTGAAAATAGAGGCAGGGCCAACACACTGAAAGGATCAATTCTACCTGCAGTGGACCTGGAAGATTGCTGTTCCTCCTGCAATCCATGGGATGTAGGCACATGGATTATTCAGGCTGGTCTGGGACAGCAAAGCCAATCTTTAGGGACAACTAGAACATAAACCATTCTCAGGTACAAGTCTGCCCTTAAACGGTGACACTAAATGCCACCTCAGAATAGCTGTTCTGTACACTGAAACATATTTGTTCTAAAAACACTAATTATTAGCACTATTAGCTAAAATAGTGCTTTATTGCCCTTTTGAATTATTCATAAGAGAAAGACCTGATAAACAAGGTGTATGATCATTTTAACTTACTTCATTTCAACAGCTTGTAAATACTGCAAAGCACTGATTTCTGAGCTATTGGATTAATATTTGCTAGACAGGCAATGAATTATCTTACATTAACCTAGAAGCAAAAGAAATGTGTGGAAAACCAAGTAGCTGTGGACAGTGATGGGATATCATGGCTCTTCTGAAAGGCTCTTTCTGGAGGTTTTACTAATGAAATAAAAACTAATAATATAGCATGTAAGTTACTTAGCTGGCCCAGCCAAGATAGGCTGAGTAAGTGATTAATAAACAGAACTGGCAATATAACATAATGATGTGGCACAAGTTTCATCTCACCTCAAATTGCTAAATATAAAATACAGGAAAATTTCTGCTGACCCCACGTTCTGCAGACTTTCAGCAACGGGTGACATCAGCTGTACCCAACACCAATTGCTGACTCTACGCAACCCAGGAACAGGTCAGGATGAAACACACCCCTGCAAAGGCAGCTAATGCAAGGTGAGGTGCTTAACTGGGAAATACAGCCAAGCTTTTTTGTGTCCTCAGCACCTGGCAATGCCATTCCAGCGCTAACTCTGCTGGACACTGAAAAGGCAAAAAGGACACCCAGATCCCAGGTGGGCACGGTGTGGGGGCCCTGAATTCAGTGGCACAGAATTCAGCCCAGGTTATTTTTACTTCCTGCCATCTAGTGTATCTATGCTTGCTTTAACAAGCCCTGTGACTTGGTGAGAAGTGAGCATATGCACATTTATTCTTTTGGTGGCAAAACTGCACTACATTCATTGGACACTGATGCCTGATACAAACTCTGCCACTAATTTTCATCAAAAGAAACAAAGCCTAGGGAGGCCTTGAAAACAGGACACAAATTTCTCCACAAATGTCTGGATCCTGTTGTTTCTACAGAATAGAAACAACACAGCTTTCACATAATCAATTTTCTGAGCGGCAACTCCAAAGAATCATCCTTTTAATGCTGCTGAGAAAGGGACATAATAGAGGTGACTCAAAGGAATAGATGCTGCAGCTACAACCACTCTCATTATGTACATATGAGATGCCTCAATGTTCCTGCCTGCTGATTACATGAGCAAACATTTTTAGTATGCAAAATCCTATTAACTCAAGGGGATTCTGCATAATTTTATAACAGCTCCACTTGTGGTGTTTGATCGACTGGGTCAGCAACAGACAGATGGCAAAGAATTAATTCTCTAAGGCAGGGCGGGTTTTCTCTACTCACTCCACTCGGATAAAACAGAACTTTTTCTACATTCCCTACACCTTTTTCTCTTCTAAGAGCAAGAACAAGAATGTTGGAGCTGTCAGCACAAAGAGGAAGACAAATGAAAACTCTTCTGTGTGACATTTACCCTCCCCTAAAAAATCTTAAACCAAAAAGGAAAGTTAACCTCAAAGTAACAAAATAATCCAAGAGATTACCCTGGAACATATCCCTCCAATAATTAGGGCTTTCTCTTGCTCCATTTCTTGATCACTTCATAATTCTGAGGTGCAGAGAAAAGTATTAGCCAGTACTTAGTGAATTTGTGCTTAGCATGTATTTAGATGGAAAATTATGAGCAGTCTGAAAATGGTGCCTAAAATTAAATTATTAATGCACCGTTTCCCCAGTTTGAGGAAAATGGTCCCAGAAGTAAATAACAATCTGGCTAGGATTTACAAGTAGAACTCTTAAGCTTATAAGATGTACAACTTGGGCCCAGAAAACCTTCAAAATGGAGGGAATTAAACTGATAAAGAAATATTTGTCTGATGGTTTTTTTGAAAGCCCTGTAACTACATGTAAACTTGGAGGAGTTAACTCAGAGACCCACATGGATCCAGCAAAAATTCCAACTGTTTCACTTGTCAAAGCATTGCTCCTTGAGTCCTCCGCCAGCATTATCCAAAGTGGGTCAAAAAAGCAATGGGGAAGACACACCAAGTTAAATCAGGATTTCTTTTGGTTGAAAAACTCCTTGGTTTGGGGAAACAGCCCCATCCTTTTTCACCACAGCACAGTTCCTGTTAATGGCACTGCACCATCATTCTTCCAGAAGCAGTGATTTTTGTAACTTGAAAAAAATTCTTCTGGCTTTTTTTGGGTTTTCTTTGTTTTAAATATTAGTTTCCATCCCAATTCTCACGTCACTTTGAATTAGAAATATTTCTCTGACATCCAAGCTAATTAAGCCTGCTTCAGAAATAAGGGCTCGAGGTTGTCAGCCACACCTGACAACCCTTTGGACAAACAATTCTCCTCCATTTGTATTTTTAATTAAGCTTACTGAAAGTGCTTTCATATCAGAAAATGGGGACAAAATTTTGACTAATCCAAAGCAAGACTTCCATTTTCATTTGGAGATAACAGATGGCAGCTTCAGCCTGTAACGCTGACTGTGCACTAAGTCAATCCCATCCCTGAAACTTAGCCCATCTCTTTGGCCTCACATCTAAGGAAAGAAGAGCTTCTTTTTACTAAATCAAGAGGGGCCAAGAAAACCAAAGTGCCCAGACAATCCTTGGACCACTCTTACATGATTCTTGGATCTTTCCTACATAAGACTGGAGATCAGCACAGAGAAAGGCACATCTGACTGCAGAACACCAAGGATTTCATCTTTTGCCACCAACAGCTCACAGAATTCTCAAAGTCATTAACAGTGTTATCAGAGGGGGTGTTCCTCTCATTCCTAATTATTCCAGGACACCTTCACTTAGTGAATTAGATAAAAACCAAAGTTTTTACTCACTCCCTCCACACCTGTGTTCAGCCTTGTACAATGTGGCTTCTTCCCAAACCCAAGTTCATTTGATATTTTCTTCCCAATATTTCAGGGGGAAGCAGTATTTCCTTTTTTACCTGAAATGGAGACTGGCTGTTGTAATTCTTGATCTCCTTGTTGGCTCCCCGGAACAGCAGCACCCTTGCACAGCTCTCCTGAAAATGATGGAAAAGGAAACTTGTTTGTCAAGATCCTTTGGCACTAAAAGACTGACTGCTAAGAGGTTATGAGGTGTTTGGTCTATATTTTCATGACTAAAAAATAAACCAAATAAATGATCTTAGAACTCTAAATTGTTTAAAAAAGCATTTTAAAAGTGACAGGGCTTCAGGTGCTTTGCAGTATATTAGAAGCACTAGGCAAATGTAAAGAAACATGAAGGAAAACAAGAAGTAAATATCTTATTAAATTTTTAAGCAATTGTACTGACAAAGTTCCATATTTGACAAATCAAACTTTGCACAGTTATGACTCCCATATGGGGTTTTTGCCTATTTTGCAGTAAAAACAGTACTGTTCACAGAACTGGGATGAATTATATCCTTCCCTCCTGTTAAAAGTTAAACAAAGCAGTTTTGCCACTTATTTTGTTGGGGACTTTTTTCAACCCATCTTCAATATTAAATGTATGAATTTTTTTTTTTTTTTAGTACCCATGAAATTATTTCAGGCGTGTATCTGCCTATACACACTGCACTGACCAGCCCTATTGCCTCTCTTTTCCCCTAAAAAATGCTAGCAGTTACAGCACAAGGAGGAAAATTTGGCTTCAGATCCTCCAAACTGAGGAAATCTGCAAAGGAAATCCCTTAAAACCAATTTATTTTGGCCAATACAGTGCATTGGTTAAATCATTGCTCTCCATGGCTGTTAAATATGACTGCACACAATCTGGTATATTCTTGGAGGTTCAGAATTTTTGATGATTCCTGTATGGACTCTCTTTCTTACTTGTCACCTTTAATGTTCATCTTAGGGTCTTATGCAAATCAATTCACATTTCAAAAAGGTTTTATATTCCCTCATCACAAATATTGATCTTAATTTTCTTGTGCTTTCTGTGCTGTCTTGATATGTTGTGCTAGGGAGTTCTAACTACTGAGGTATTTGGAGGTGCTACCTTTCACTTTGAACAGCAAATTCGCAGTCAGAGAAGACAAAGTACATAATTTAGGTATTTTAGTGGCAGAAATGAAGCTTATTTACTAGACTGAGTCACAGGTTAATTTGCAGAAATGATGATTGAAAATCATTACTCTCATTGTGTTTTCTAATTTCTCACCATGAATTCTTGGTCCCATTATGTCTCCCCATCACAGGGCTGCCCTAAATGTATCTGGAGAGGAGGTTATCCTACCTTTTCCTCAACTGAAAAACAACAAAATGGATCAAGATGGTAAATTAACAATTATCTCTTAGATTATAATTTTTAATGATATACAATTAACTGAGATAGTCTTGCTTGTTTGCACTGCAATCTGCACTTTAGTTGCATTTTCTCTGTCTCTAAGCAATTGATCAATGCCCAATTTTAATCAAGAACTTGAGTAGATAAATAATTACATTGAACAACTTACTGTATTTATTGGGTGATTATTCATTTGTTTATCAGAATAAATCATCCAACATTACAACACCAAAAGAATTATATACTCAAAAACTCCCTAGAAATTTAACTGAGCTGTCTGCAGTGTAACAAAAACATGCAAAGGGATTTATTAACTAAATGATTATGATTAGAAAGGTTTTTGCCAAAAGTCCAAGAGCTGTTCAAAATTTTTAAAAATTCAAGAAAATTTATTTGGGTTAAGTACTGCATTTGTTTGTTTATTTATTTTTAGTCTTTTGAAACAAACAGAAGCATTCTTAACTCCACGTTTGCTCCTTTTTGTTTCCTCCCCATCTGTCAGATTATATTCAATTTTAATACTACAACAGCTTTCATACAGATCCGATCCTCCCAGTGAAAGAGGGCACATTTCATCCCAGCAAAAAACAGCCTTCCTGCATGGACATGGAATAACTTTCAAAACCAAGAGTTTATTCAGATCAGGACTTTGCTGACATCCAGAAAAACAAATTTACCAACTTCGGAAAGCAAGCCAAGAAAATTCCCCAGGGGAGCCTGGAAGGGAACATCAAACGGGTAACGACTCCATCTACAGGAATCTGGGGGTGGTAACAAGGATACTGCTGTCCTTCCCATCCTCTCCAGCTGGAAAAGGCAGACCTTTCACATGAACCAATAAAAACTTCCCATTTAAAAAAACAAACAAACAAACCACCACAAAACACTGGCAAAATCAGCACAGGTTAAGGTACACAGCAGCCCAAGGGAAACTATGTATTTCCACATACACCGGATGAAAGAAAACAGAAGGACGGCAGTGCAGGCAGAAGATGTTAAAGTTCTATTCACCAAGCCAAGCTTAGTGACTGTGTAAATACTTGAAAATTTGTAGATGCAGTTTCAATTAGTCTTTAAGTCTCCTGCAGAATAACTTCTACTGAGGTCAGGAAAACACATCTCTGCATGAAAAATAGTGTAAATTCTACAGGATTACTCTAATTCCCACCTCATACTTGCTAAAAGTGTATAGTCTTGAAAAATGCCAAATTATCCCCAAAATTCTTTTTTTTTTTTTTTCTGTTTAAGCTGAGGGCATTTTAGACCTAATTGAGGAATATGTCTTGACAAGACTCCAGGAAAAAACCAAGATGGTAATTAATTAAAAAGCAGATCCTTTAACAGATGTTTCACTGTTTACAGTCACATCTCATGCTTTCCAAATTCAATGTAATATCCTATGTGCTGAATTTTAACATAGTTCTAAATTCATCCCCTCCCCATCTCATCCCTGCAAAGAGAGTATAAAATGCTATCAAATCAAAACTTTCTACTACTTGTAAATGACTACACAAGTTGTAAACAGCAAAGAATCCAGTATCTTCTGTATAGAGACAATTCCATAGTATTTTACAACTCTTTCTTATTTAATTCTAAGTTAAACTATAGACTAACAGCAATAAATTCTGTACAGGAAATAAATACTTAGATATGAATCAAACCCAAAAAAGTTGGTAAAGCATAATGCTTTATTTTTTAATACCCATATTCTTGCCACCGACGATGAGCAGCCTTATTTGTAATCAGTGAATAAAACAGCACTAAAACAATTTTAACTATGTTCTTTCCAGGTTGTAAGACTGCTTTTTAATACCTGAAGCACTTCATTGTATATAAAATAATGTAGTGATAGGATGAAGGGGAAAGGCTTCAAATTGAAAGAGAGCAAGTTTAGATCAGATATTGGGAAAGAATTGCTCCCTGAGAGGGAGGTGAAGACCTGGGGAAGTTGTGGATGGCCCATCCCTGGAATGTTCAAAGCTAGGCTGGATGGTGATTGGAGCAATGAGGTGTAGTGGAAGGGGATTGGAACTGGATGATCGTCAAGTTCCCTTCCAAGCCAACCCATCCCGTGATTCTGGGAGCTCCCAGCTCCTGCTGGGGACATTTCTGTCCCTGCAGGGGGCCAGCAGGGCTGGTGACAGGGCAGGGGCTCTCACCTGGTTGTAGAGGGCACAGATGTGCAGGGCTGTGTTCCCCGAGGCGTTCTGCGCGCACATGTCGGCGCCATAGAACAGGAGGTGCTCCAGGTGTTGGACGTGTCCGTACCTGCAAGCCTGGGCAGGGATGCACCAATATTTTGGTTATTACACCAAAGCCTAGGAAAGATTTTCAGCAGAGAGGGTACTGTTTTTAAGGAGGGTCTAATTTTTAGAACCACAGCTGGTTCTCTGATGGGAGCACAGACACCCAGATGTGCATTCCTGTGCCAATTCCAATGTGGGACGTTCAGGTACAGCAATCCTGAAATCAGGTACAAGCTTGAGCTTAACCATCTGATTATTTTGGGAGTGGCAGCCTAAGGGATCAAGAAAATACTGCCTGTGGAACTTTTTATCCACTAATGTTCATGACTCAAATGTGACAAGTTTTTTGTCCTGCTACACTCTGGAGCGCTGCCCACCAGATGGCACTGAAGACGATCAGATTGCCAGAGCTTTTTCCCAAACTGCTTACAGGCCTTAGAAAGAAAATCTGGCCAAAATCCAAGGAAATCATCTTGGTTCTGTGATGTCAAGCAGACACACAACATACACAGGACACTGCTCCAAAACAGGGGGAAATCTTCAAGAGTTACTTTATCTGTCACACAAATAAAAGGTTCAACCCTGGATTTTTGGAAATAAGCCTCCATGAAGAAGATTCATTGAAATTAGAAACTTTCCTGATTAGTAAATAAGCTTTAGAAAAATCACAGTGATTCCAGTCCACGGCCTCTTTTACTTGACTTCCTTCTCCTCTACGGCCCACTGACCAAGCACCTCCCAATTTATAATGTTTTGGACTTTGTGGTATCTTAAATCAGCATAATTCCTACATAAATCAGAACTTAAGGTAAGAGATAAAGATATAGAAATCCATTCAGTCTTTCTGAGGTACCTCATCACTCCTGAATTCTGTGGGAGGTACAGACTGACACACCTGGCTTGGATCTACAATTTGGAAGAGAAGTTAAGTGGACTGCTCAGTGCACAGATTAAATCCCCATCCTTCTTACTTCATTGAGGAATGCTTGAATTATTGATTAGTCCAAACAGATTGTTCCTAACCCAGATGTAAACATTGATTTATTTAGGATTACAACCAACACAGGAAGTTTGGAAAGCTCTATTTCATTATGAGAAAAAATAACCTTATGTGTATGAGGCTGGAATTTAAATAGAGGGACAGTTTCCCTGTATTTTTATGGAGTCCAGATGGGGCAATACTTTGATTTAGACAATCCATTTCCTCCATATCCTCAGAAAATATGGTAAAAAAATAATTCCTTTCTATTCTCCTACTCTAGAGATGGATCCAAACAACCTTGACCTAGACCCACTTAGTGAAAAAGCTCCAATTCCTGCCCAAATGTGGGTGCCAAAGCTACCTCCCAGTTCTTTCCAAGAAAAGAAGAAAAAAAATCTGTGTACTAAAGAATTTAGTGCTCAGAAAATAAATTGAGTCAAGATGACCCAGGCAGACCTGTACGGTTGATTACATGTATCTTTATCTCATATTACAGCAGTTCTAATTTTTGTAGTTTTCCAAACTCATCCATACAGAGACACAACAAAGTAGCAGCAACGACATTGGGGCTGTTAGAATCTTTGAACTTCATATATTATTGAGTTTATCACTGTGCAAAGGGAAATCAATAAAGCATTTTTACACAACTGCTGGATAACATTCAGGCATTTCTGAAGAGGACAGGGAGAGGCTGATGGACCCCAGCAGCAGGATCCTCAACCCAAACCTTCCTGCAAAGTTCAGCAGAGACAAGGGGAAAGCACCCTGACAAACACAAAAGGAGCATTATCAAGGACACTGACTCTGGCATCTAACCAAAAGAAAGCTACATTTTCCTACTGAAGTGCCGCAAACAGGAATCTAAACTTCCAAGAGTTCACAGCATAAATATAACGAGTGCAATTTCTGCATGAAAATCCACAGTAAACAGAGGATTTCAAAGTTACGGAACACCACTGGAACAGTTTTCTACTTCTTACTCACCACAGCAGGATGCAAAGTGAATAAATAAAAAGAAGTAGAAAAAGTAGATAGAAAAAGCAAGAAATTTCATACTTGAATGTGCAGGGACTTGAAAATAGTGCTTAACCCTAGAACAACCAGGGCACATTTCCTCATGCAAGTTCAACTCCAAACAAAAAGCAAATCTTCCTACCTGATGAATTTCTTGCCATCCATTTTCATCCTTGCAGCTGACTGTAGCATGTTCATGGAGTAAGAGCTCACAGCAGAAAGGGTCCCCTCCCACCACAGCCGTGTGGTACAGCGGGGTCAGGCCACAGCTGTCCTTGTAGTTGGGAGATGCTCCCAGCTCTAAAAGGGTCTGAAAGCAATCACAGACTGTGAAAAATAGATTTGGGAGGGGCTTCCATATAAAGGGTCTTTACCTGAAAAAAACCTGAAAAAAATATGTATGAGGTTGATCATTGACATAATATTTTTTGCTCACCTATTTATCAGCTGCTAAGAGTGGGCCACAGCACAGACTAAGTTAAGCAAGAAATGACCTTGGAAGAATTAAGATCTAAAGGAATCTATGGAGATGGCACAGAAAGGAGTGGTAACGTCCAGTTTCCATCCTCTCACTAGGTTCAGAAATGTCAGCTCTGTAAATGTTGCATCACCTTTGCAACACATTCACCTCTTCAGCTCCAAGGTGCTTTACCAAAAATGTCATGCAATTTGAGTATCTGTCAAAAGGGAATAAGCAAAACCCATAAATCTAAGACTTAACCTAGACCATTAGAGTGATTTAAGAATACCTGTTAAAATACAAAAGAAAACAGAAGACATTGTGTTAAGGCATAATGTGCAATCCATGCCACTGGGAGCTGCTTACAAAGTGTTGAGTGACAAGAATGCTATTCCTATTTCCTTAGACACGTCTCAGTGTATCAATGAATAAGCTTAAATTTCACCACTTTTCTTCCTACCAGGAAAAGATACATCAGAAATTAAAATGCTCTTTATTGAAAGCAAATGCTAAGACTTGAAAGCCACAAGAAAGCACTAGAACAAGCACATCCTAAAGGATCCATGGAGGACAATACAATAATTAACTGAAAACAGTCTCCTTTATGCATTTTTTTTTTAAAAAGATTACACATAATTTGCTCCTGAAAGCATTTACCTTGAGGGCTACTTGGTTCTTGGCTCTGGCTGCTTTGTGCAGAGCTGTCATTCCATCTTTGGCTCTGAAGTCTAAATGTGCTCCTCCATTTTTCAGGGCTTTTATCACTTCTACTGTGTTGTCAAGCTGAGCTGCCAAAGTTAGGGGTGTTTCTAAGGAAGAGAATAGGATGTACTTGGAAAAAGGTGAGCAAAATTATAAAATAAATTTAAGTTACTTTATAAAATAAAGTTTAAAATACTGTTCAAAGAAAAGCATAAAATTATCAATTATCTCCTTTGGACAGCAAAGCCCTACAGATTCCACCGGTTTAGAGTTACGAAGGAATGTGTGAGATTCACCCTGTTAATCAATTTAAGTTTAACTAACTCAAGGTACCCCTCTATGCTGCTTAGTTTTGTTGTTCTGACCTCCGCTTTCTAAGTCATGATAGTTTGGGTCCAGTCCTCGGTCCAACATCTTGGTCATTTTTTCCACAGAGAGATGGTGGACATGATCCATAAATTTTTTCAAATTGGCCTGAAACAAAGAGCAAAAAATGAATCATCCTCTGATTTCAAAAATAAAATTTTGACTAAAAATGAATTATTTTTTTGACTGATGTCAACACCCACTGTAGGTAATTGCTAACTCCTGCAGGGAATTGGGATACCTTGGTGTGAAGCTTGGCCAGCTGCTTTTCATCGAGGTTGAGCTGTCTGTACACTCTTTTCTTGTAGCGAAACTGAGGGAAGAAAGATTTTAAAACTTAAAAACTTGGAATTCATAATATAATTTTCTGATCTTACCAAGAAGTATCATCCACTGTGATGGTAGATTTAGGTAAAATTTTTAAAATTTTAGAAATAGGCTCAGTATTTCATATAGTTTTACATCATTTAAGCAAAATTCATATCTTGTACCAATACAGTGAGATCAGTGGAGGTTTGTGGGAAATGAGACCAGCCTCTAGAATCTACAGAAATAAGCAAGAATTACACTGAAAAGAACTTTTCCCCAAGGATTCCTGTGCACTTTCATTTATAGACTCAGGCAGAAAGCTAGGAAGGCATGTTAAATAAAAAAATATCAATTTCAAAATTGCAGCTTAGCACTTCTGCAATATAAAAACAAAATAAAGTATACCTGAAAGTCCCTTAGTCAATATAAGAGGAACTTGCAAATGGGAATAGTTGTTCTGATGTTGAACAGGACTGGTTTTGTGAATGAGATTCGGAGGATTGCCTCTCTTTTTGGCTGAAACTCAGTCACATTTTATCCTGTGCAGCTTAGGTACAGTTGCAAGATCTGTAGCAAAAGCCATGGGGGTTTCCATAGCTATAATTTATGACTCTCTTATTGTCCCATGCAGAATTCCAGGAATGCAGCATGTCTGTTGGACAAGGGACTGCACTGAATGAGGCTTTAGCACCAGCTTTGCACAAAATCACTTTTAACACCTCAATTGCTGCAGTCAACACTCATGAAAAAGGATGAAACAAAATAAAGTGGCTGTTTAATTTCCTTACAGCTCTAATGTGGTCATCAGTGACTGAAACTCAGAAATAAATTCTGGAAAAGGGAAGACCTGAAGCCTTCTCAGGACCCTGGTTCTTTTCTCTTGGATTTGTGTTATAATGGAGTAAGTCTATTAACCACACATTATTAATGGTTGATCTGCCACCATACAGGCAATATCAAAATTAATTAAATGCCAGTTTCATGCCCCAGTTTGCTGCTATGTTGCATGATCTGGCTCTGCTCCAAGTTTGTTCAGTGCCATAAAAGTTCTGCCTAGCGTATTCCCAACTGCAGAGCCTCTGCAGGAGCAACAGAGAGGGGGAAATCCCAGTACACGCCCTCTCCCCTATTACTGCTTTCCTAGGAGGCAGACAGAGGCAACCTGTGCACTCTGAGGGATGGCACAGAGGGAACTAGATGGGGGTTAAAAAAGGCTTCACTGAGACAGAAAGTTCTCTTTGGGAGACAGCAAAGTCTGATTATCCAGCAACTACTACACTGCTATTGCAAACATCATCACAGAGCCAACAGCTTCACCTAGAACCTTACATTTCTTTATTAAATCACTAAATAAGATAAATTCCTGTGTCCTCAGCAAAGGAAAACTCCAAAATCCACTGTCCCAGAAGGGCTGACTCTTTGCAACTTTTTGAGGATGGACCAGCTCCATGAGCAGGGAATGCCAGCACTTCTGTGAGCAAGGGTTCAAGCTCAGACTTGCTGGATAAGCATTTCCCAGATGTAATTCAGGTGCATGCAGACACCTCAAATACAGCTTTCTGCACAGTTTATATCAGAACAGAAATGCTGCAGATGTTAAATCTAAAAATACCTCAAGTGAAGGAACTCCTTTATTGACTGGTTGTGGGTATTCCCTCAGAAGTCTTTCCTCATCCAAAAACTTCCCATCCCTCCCATTGCTTGCAGGCTGGAACAGTCCATAATTCAGGACATCTTTCAAACTCTGGTTCAAAGTGCACAAAATCCGCTGCTTTGCAACCCACACTGAAGCTTCTGGGTTAAATCGAATGCATTTCTGCAAAGAGAAATTTGAAGGAACCAAATTAGCAAAAAAAACCATTTCAACAGTGTCTTACATTCTAAAATTTACAAGTGTCATGAATAATAGGAATATGCATAATAAATATACAGATTCCATGACAAAACATTGCTCAGCAAAAATTCTATTTCAGATATGCATTGATAATACCTCATGCACAAGTACTGTGAAAACACAGGACATTTCAAGTCCTTCCACAAACCTCAGGGAGCACACACATCCTTCCTCAGAGAGAGAACACCTTAATGGAAAACCTGTTCAAAAGGGATGTTACAAGGTGTTTAACTATCCACTTAATTCTTGGATTCTACTTCCCTTTTAGCTACATTTATCTGAGGGTAAGTTTATGGGAGGAATGGTACAACATGAAGCAAATGACTATAAAACCTTGACAAACTTCTGCTGTTCTCTGCTTCTTACCAAGCTGGAATTCAGGGATTTTGCCTACACTGCAGTCACTGGTTCCAAGGTACCAGCAGATGGCAATGCCTAGAAAGCAATTTGGTGCCTCTGATGTACATCCTGAACACATAATGCTGTTTCTGCTTTAATCCTTTGCAGTCTTCAACATGAAGAGAAATGTCAGAGACTTTGCCACAAGTAAGGCTGGCTAGGAAGCAGCTGTCATTTCCCTTACTTATTTTATTTTTCAGTTTTGTGAAAAGTTTTGGGGGTATTACATGCTGAAGGGAAGGAGACAGGGATACAAAGTAGATGGTTACAAGTATTTTCCTTCCCAAACATCCCAGTAGTTACAGTATTGGCTTAGCAACAAGGCAAACCTGTTTGAAATCCCGGTGTTCTTCTGAACCTCACTTGCCCCACAACTCCTACATGGATTCAAACTTCAATACAAGATTAAGACTCAAACATCAGCACTTTTCAGCAAAACCATCAGTTACAAGATGTGCAATGAGCATAACTTTTAACATTATCCACACATCTGAAAGATTTCAGTGAGTGTTATTCAAATGGGAAGATCATGTTGAAATTACATGTATTTTTTTTCTCCAAGGAAAGTCTTACGTGAAACAAACTAATTTTGGACTTGTATGACACTGTTTTGATTTTAAAAATACAAAGCAGTTACTTCTGATCACAGTTAAATTAAGTCTGCTGCTTTTTAATGCACCTGGAGAATCCAACATGTCCAATTTTCTTCAGTCTATTCTTGTGTTCTCTCTGTTCTTGATGGCAGGCAAATATTTCACAAACTAATTCAGTGAGAGCTCCAGCTCCTCTAGTGATTCATAAGAAACAAAAGTGGGCTTTAATTGTAAAAAAAAAAAAGCTGATTCCATTAGCAATTTAGAATTAAATAAGATCAGTCATGTAAAAAGTAAATTGCTAACTGGAAAATTTTTTGCTACCAAAATGTCTCAGGCTGAGAAAAGTGAAACTAGTGCGAAAAGTGATTATTTATGCTTTCCATGAAGCCAGGCAGTATAGAAGTGGAGCTGTTACCACTCCCTCAGAGGCAGGTGCTGGCCAAGAGGATAAAAAGAACCACTCAGATGCTGCATCAGGTGCATTTTCCACCAGCCTGTCCCTGGAACAGCTCCACTGTGCTGCTTCTGTGTCCTCCTGGCAGCCCTCCAGGCAGGGAGCACCACAGCCACCCCCTCTATCCTGCAGACAAGTCATTACTTACTGCCACACTCTGTATCCTGAGGAAACATCAGCTCAGTCACAGCAGGACCTACACTCAGGCTGCTCTAGTTATGACATAAGGAACAATTCATTAGGCACAAGTGGCATGGTGACCACAAGGAAAGGAGGCAGCAGCAGAGCCAAAAAAAAATTGACACCTTTTTCTAATCTTCAATGACAAGAAAAAAAAAAGAAAAAGAATAGGGATCATTTAGTGACAAGGAACTACAGAAACATATGAAACAGATGTTTTGCACTGACAGATACATTCACTGTAAAAACCACAAAGAATAGCCAAAAAATAAAAAAGCCCTGAGTGGCTCAAAGTCACTGTCAAAACCACAGCAAGCCCCTCAAAATGCACGTGCAGCAGCAAGACAGCATGTCAGCACTGGCTGCTGAGATGCAAGGCTCAGTTTGGGATGTGAAAGCTCCTTGGATCACAGGAGACATGGTCAATTATAATCTTGCATTCCTGCACACTGGTGAGAGCAAGTCAGAGTGAAGGACAGGAAAGGAAGCCAGGGAAAATACAAATCCCCCAGCTGAAGGGAAGATATTAATTCAGTAGGAAGAATGCTTATGATATAGAATGTCTGAGGGATAATACTTTCTGCTTAAAATCAATCAGCAAACACATCTTTCTGCTCAGCTGTGAACCACAAAAACTGCTGTGACTGAGGGACACGACAAAATGGTTTGTACAGCTGCCTCCAAAAATATGATTGCCAGGATATCAAAATATGAATTCTTCCTTTCAATGAGAGATGTTGATATTAAAGATGTGACAGCCAAAAAGTGGGAAACACAAATGAGAGTTTGGCATCACAAAAAGAAAAAGGAGCAAGTCCCACATTTTGGTTTGTGCTGTGTTCAGCTTGATTCTCTGCTGAAACACTGCTCTCCATCAGGCTGCACTCAGGAAACACAGAATTCACGAGGGGATAAGTCAGAAAAACCAGTCTGGCCAGGATGTCAGCAGATCACCTGCCCAGATAACGGGCATGTGAACAGATACCAGCAGCACAACAACTCTCTTATCAAACTGAAAATAAAACAAGGAAGAGCAAACAGAAAGCAGCAAGAAACAATCAGGCACAAAGTGGGATACAGAAGAATACTTGGGAAAAGTTGCAAAAGAAAACCTAGAGTACCTATGAGGCAGCACAATCTGGAAACTAGTGAAACTGGAGGCATCCCAAGGAAAAATGGGACTCGAGCTGCAGTTGGCACAACTGTGTTCCTACTTTTTTAAGGTAAAAAGTGCACAAAGTAAAGTAAGTCTTTTATCTGAGAAGAAATACCAGGTAAGGAAAAGATTCTTAATCCTAAAACCCAACAAATAATAAAAAAAAAAATCAAAGAAAGGACACAAAAGTATAAAAAGCAATGCAGAAACAGAACAGCAAGAAGTGGCTCCAACTTAAGCTGTTGCTATACCAAACAGTCACTTACCAAACAATATTTTGCATGGAAAGTCCAATATAATTTTAAAAACCCCAAAACCCAGGGGAGGGAGAAATCAGTAAATGTTCATTATTGCAGTGGAGCAGCAAGACAGATGGGCAGAAAGCGTCTCAGAAGTCTTCAGCAGACCCAAACCCATCTCAGCCTCAGAATTTAATAAAATGTATGGATCTGAGCATTTTGACTTTAAACATAACCCAGAGGAAGTACCTAAGTACAGGGTAAAACAAAAGAATGTTACGAGCCCTATGTGTTGATAATAAAATGATGAAAACATTCTTTAAAAAAACTGGGTGACAGAAGTGACAGTGCCTCAGTGTCTGTGGCAAAGAGCAATTCTAAGCACAAAACACCATTGCTGACAGAATACCAAGGTAAAGGAGATTTTCTTGACAACAGCTCCTGAGGAACCAGACTGATTTCACTTATAGGCAGCATCACTTGGGATTTGTTCCTACATAGGCTGGAAAAGGAAATGGATACAAGATGACTGGGCCTGGATTCAGACCAAATAATATATGCCAGATAATACAGCTGTTTTACCCACGCTCCTCGAGACTGTGGAGGGCTTTCCATGCTCTCCATTCCCTCAGGAAATTTACTGAGCTCAGGAAATCTTTCTGTTCCTCATTTAAATATTCTCCATCCTCCTGTGAGAAGGATGACACTTACTGAATACAGGTCATGCACAGAGGCAATAAGAAATTACCATTTCTACCAAGCAGTGTTTCAGTAAATTGGGTTATCACCCAAACTGAGAAGGAGACAAAAAAAATGACTAATATAAGAACTGAAAAGCAATTGTTCTTAAGGGCTCTGTATGAAATTGTCAAGGTTCACATTGTCTTCTAAGTTTCAAATGAGAATAAAAGAGCAACAAGACAGCCTTCCTACAATGTATGGTAATCTATAAAGTTTTCCATGGCAGCACATCCTACTCGTGGTGCTTGGTGCTTATCTCGTACCTGCAGTGAAATAAAGGCAGTTTGTACCACAGCCACTGCAGACAAGCAAACTTCATTCTCTGGGAGTTTGGCTTTAAAGCTTCCCAGCCGGCTGAATTTTATCTAAACCCCTAAACTTGTCTTCCTTAGAACAAATATAGTCTTGATCATACTCTCTAAAAACCAAAAGAAGCAGAAAACTAAATTATGTTATTTCATGCTTCTTTGATTAAACAGACTAATTTTAAACACTTGATATGTTAAATTAATTATAATTATACAGGAAATGGGGCCTATGTTTGCTCTGGCTTGTAGCTGTACAACAGCTCAAACTCTGATCTTCTCCACAGTTTTCTTCACCACATTTAATCCACCAATATTTCTGTTTGCTAACCTGAATCCAGGTTTCACTTTCCTGCACAAAAAGTTTATGGGCTGATAAATTAAATAAGAAATACATCAGCTGCTTTAGAACTGCTTAAAACAATTCAGTTACTTTTCATGAAGAGTTTATTGAAAAGGAAAAAGAAATACAAAAAGTAAAGCAATAAAAATGAACAAATCATAAAATTAATTTTTAAATTGGTCTCAATAATGTCAATAAGTAATTTGCTATTGATCTAGAAACCAGAGTAATTAAATAAGAGGACTTCAGGAAGCTACTATCCCTGTGGTTTTAACAGCAGAGTAAATATAGCAAGAAAAGCTGGTATATCCCTTCCATTTTCATGGATCTATTCATTGACAGAATCACAGATAGAGCAAGCTGGTAGGATCATCAGAAAGAGCTCCAGAACCACACCTGAGGGCACACTGTCAAATCAGCTTTTCCTGTCAGGCTGCATCCAGCCCGTCTCTATCATTCTAAAAATGAACTTAATTAAGAAGAAAGGAAGGGCTTCATCTGAGATAGATCTTTGATGGCAGCAGGGCATGATGCAGCTCATACATATCAGCACAGAGTGATGGATGTGGTTCACATCCATAAAATGGATGTGTTTTTATAATCATTTTGGAAATTTCAAAAGGTTGGTGCCACCACTGAAAATCCTGACAGCAGCATTCAAGGAGAACCAGGGTAATTCAGATAATTAATAAAAAACTCAGACAAATTGTGATTCTAGATGGAATCAGTCTCTCTCAAGACCTTTTCCAACATGACACTTATTCCTATCACAGCACTCGCATTGGTTTCTCTGGCTGGAAGGTTCTGAAACAACACCCTATAGTAAAGGCACAGCAGCAAAGGAGGAAGGAAAGGTTTATTTCCCCTCATCTTTACACTCTAAAAGCCACAGGCTCTCTAAAAGGGATGTCTTTTGTGAGGTAAGTTGACAGAAAAAGTCAACAAATACAGTGAAGAGAGAGAATTTGATGACCTCTTGCAGGACCCCAGTCTAGCATCAATCACAAACTATTTCAAGAGAAGAGGAACTACAGAAGCCATACAGATATATATATATATATATACACACATATACATATATAAGGCTTTCATAGAGTTAACGTGTGATTTTTTTTATTCAATCTTCATCCTCTGATGAGGTTATGGATTCCTAAGTCTCTTTCTTTTACCCAAAAACTCCAAATGCAGATCAGAGATATTTTGCTTTATGAACATGGCTTTAATCAGGTCAATACACTAAATTCTCTTGGAAGGGATGGAGCCTTTAGTGAGGCAACCAGTCAGATAAATCGCTGGGGTACAAAGCACAGACATTAAAACAAAACATGAATTTTGTCTGCAATAAGTCAAAAAAGAAAGTTAAAAAAAGGACCAGATGTACTGCAGGTTGAAGCCAGCAAACCTAATCATTAATTTCACTTTGTTTAATTGCAGTGCACTCTGCCTTACCGTTTGCTGCAGGTCAGGTATGATAATTCGAATCACTAAAGTGTTGCTCTGACTGTCTTCCATTCTGCTGCTTGGCTTTTCTGCAGTTGCTCTAATTGTGTCATAAATAGTTTCTTCTTTGGAGCTGTCTGATTCAGACTCAACAGAATAGTCAGAGAAGCTTTGTGCCATTTCATCTTCACTTGATGTAGGGCTACGAGGCATGTTAAAGTTTTTTATCCTGCCAATACAAAGGAGAAAAAGAAAAAAAGTTACAGTTCAAGTCTTCAAAATGAATCAGCTACATTTTTTTTTTCTTCTTGGAAATAACATGCATTTTACAAGGAAGTTTTATGGTTTATCTTCCTTTTATTTCTTTCTGTCAATTATGCGGGTAGGCAGAGTGTAAAGGAAATAAATCTGGCTACCAATTTACTAGAGAAGAAGGGCAGGAGAAGGAAAAAAGAGTAGTAAAAAAGAACATGACCTTCCTTTCCAGGCACACCCAACCTCCCAAAGGATCCAGAAAAAACAGCATAATTACCCAGTCCTGTGATAACCAGCATGCTGTAAACTGTACTAAGAGCTAGGTCTGGCTTTGAAGCTTCCAACTCCCAGTGAAAAGACATTTCAGGGAATGAATGTAAATGCTAAACTAACATCATCCTGTACATCAAGGATCTGCACAGGTGAGGCTTTCATAAAAGTCAGTATTCCCAAATAGTGGAACCAACCAAAAAATGAAATCCTACAGGGAGCCAGACAGACACAGATGCTGCTCTGTGGTTTGTGGCTCACACAACATCCTTTTAAACCAACACCACCCAAATCTGTCCATTACAAATACTTGGAGTTCAGAAGCAGTTTTAATCTGTGATATAGCTTAGGCTAAAACGAAAGTAATGTTTATTCAAGACTAAAGACATTTGTAATGAGGGGTCTCACACTAAGAACAGCAGAACATTTGCCTTCTGGGCTTTTCCGCCGACAAGAGCAAATGCATTTTGGTTTTGTCCCACAAACTCAAAGCTGCTCCAGGATATGAAAATTATTAGTCTATGGAAAAATGGAGGAAAACATTTACAGTGGAAAAAACTGAAAAGACCAACAATAAACTCTGCAGTGCTTGGACATCATATAACTTTTCAGATTTAGGAGGCCAGAAAAATGTATTATTTTTCTTTTTTTTCCTGTGAGTAATCCTCCAAGACAATTCCTCTGCATTTTAATGCAAAATAAAAATTCAGTTGGAAGAAAAATAAAATAAAAAGAAAAAACCAAACAAGCAATTCCACTGCCAGGTCACATTTAAAAAGAGACAGTAAAGCCAAAGTGAAGCATGGAAGGGTGAAGTGACTTGATCACTCGACCGCTCATAAACCAGGTGAGCATACTTAAGTATCCAAGTACACATTTTCTATATTGATCTCTCAGCCAGATCAGCCCAAGTAAATCAAGTCAAACAACAGCAAGGGATAAAAGAACATTTTTTACCACTGTGTCTAACACTTCAGCTTAAGTCATTCCCTCTTCACTGCCCAGTCACTGTACCAGCACTGACTCCAGAGCACAGACCAAAGGCTGCCACTGCCATTTCCCATTTTAAGGTGCCCATAGGTTGGCTGGGCAGTGGAGAGTCAGGCCTGAGGCTGGAGGTCAAGGACAAGCACTCCCACATCACATCACACCCCCACATCATCAAGCCTTATTGTTGTTTCTGATGAAGGATAATTCTAGTGTTATTACCCTCAGCTATAATTACTAATGAAGACAAAACCAGTGCATTCAGAAACCTGAAAGGAAGCCAGTTCACAACAGCTTAATGGAAGGCTCTATTTACAAAGGAAAACTCTGCAGGGAGTATTTCATATTTTTGCTGCTTCAGTGAACTGTAGATTAACGCTGCTCTCCAAAGCACCTTAAGTCAATAAAAAGCATAAACATTTCTGTGGTTTCTCTATTTGTCTGCCACTGCTAAAACATGTGAACCCAAAAATACAGCAGGGTAATACACAGAATTTAAGGGCATAAGAGGTACAGGCCAGCGAGTGTGAGCAGAAAGACATAAAGACCATCACATGGTTTGTCTGTCCCTAAAGTCATCTGAGAGTTCAACATATTCCAGGGCAGTGGATACAGAGAGCAGTAAACTGCAGTTATACAGCAGCCAAATAAGAGTTGAGTTAGGAGGAAAAAACCTCCCCAGGTTTTGGCAAGTGGATTTTCATGCAAAAACTACCCAGGAATATTTCATTCTATAATAAGAAAGGAAAATTTCTAGCTGAAAAACCAGCTCCCAGGAATCAAGCTTTTAAGTTTTATAAATACTGGGACAAATAACTTCTTGGAGACTTGTCAACAAGGCACAAGACACCTAATCTTCTGGAAAATAATGCACAATTAAGCATAGAAAGGATAATGAAAGTCTATCCACAGTGGCAAGATGAACAGGATATGGGCCCCACCAGCACAGTGGAGAAACAGATCATTTAAACATCATTTTTTAAGCAAGACCACTTGAATACTGGAGAAAATAGCAATTTGTTTGGCTCAAGTTGTGTGGAAATGGAAGATCCCACCGTTTGTTAACCAGAGCCACTGGCTATCACAGCTCCCACATGGAAACTGTTATCTTTTAGGAACTGTTTCACTTTTGTCCCAATGATATTCCAAAAGATTTTTCCACAACCAAACTCACTACATCAGGAAAAAAAGGCAAGTTTCCTGGCTTACTAATTAATACGTTATAATCCATTAAAATGTTGCATCCCAGATTCCTAATTCCTACCTGGCAATTAATTGGTTCAACACAGCTGAAACATAGATTAGGTTTATCATGTCTGCCTGGGATGTCTTCTTCCTTTTCTAAAAAAAAAAAAAAAAACTGACCAACACATCATAATTCCTACAGTTAAACTGATCATGTTTTGTTTGTGGCTGCTTATGGTGTAGAGGAGTGCTGACAAGATTGTCTGTAAATTATCATCTTGGCAATAAACACACAATGAAAAGCGTCACACCAAGAGAAAGGTTTGTTCCACCTCATGCTGTCTGTCCACATTTCTCAACTCCTGGGCACTGAGTGTGCCCCAGCTCCAGGCACTCTCCTGCCCTGGCCTCTGCACATCCTCTAAGCAAAGCAAGCTTGAGCTGCAGTTGGTTAAACACCCATTTTGACACAGGAAGGCCACAAAGAAGCAGGAACATGAGAGAGTGAAAGGATGGCTTTATGCTCCCCTTATTACTGAGCTTCTTCCCCAGCCCCCTTGCCCTTTAGCTCGGCAGGAGCAGCAGGATGTGCACCCAGCCTCTGGGGCTATGGCCAGGTGATGCTTCTCAGACCAGCAGGGCAGATGAAAAGCAGAGCTCAGACTGCTGCCTTCCCTTTACAGATGCTATTTTTAGATTGGGTTTTTTTTCCAGTCCAGCCCACAGCTTTCACAAAATCTGCCGGAATTTCTTATTCTGCCATTTGCTGCCACTGCACCATTAAGGAGAATTTCAAACAGTCCAAACCATGACCATCAAACTCCCTTTTTCTCTAAAAAATAATTTTAAAAAGCCCTACAAGAACATTGTAAAAGGCTGGAATTAAACAGTGCACAGGTTATCAAATGGGAAAAAATTCAACTCCCAGAGCTCACTCTCAGGGTGAAAAGTATGCTCCAGTGAGTGCAAACAGACACAGCAGGGGAAGAACCAAGAGCAGCAACAGACTAATCTATTCTTTGCAGCCTTAAGGTTGTTGAACATCACACAAAAGGAATTTAATAAATATACATCTTGACATTTATTTGTAAGTTAGATATTGTATACTTGATGTGAAAGGGTTTGAAATATCATCAATAGAGAGACAGACCAGTCAGGGGATCTTCATTGAACATCCAGGTATTATCAGATAAATCCACTATAAAAACCACATTTGAAAATCTTCAGCTTAACTTACGGCTCTGTGTGATTTTTGTTGACCCTGCAAAGTACCAAACCCTCCTGGTCTTGTTTGTCCCTAAAACACAGCTGAGGCACAAGTACAAAACCTTGTCCAAGGCCAGGTTTCAGATCCAGGGGTCACTGACTCCTAGTCAAGATAAGACCAATCTATTTTTATATAAACACTCATTTGCACAATAGCAGCCTGTTGCCTGCAGGGAGAAGCCCTCCAGACTGCTGCTGTGAGGCCAGCTACAAACCTACCTGTGGGAATATCTGGCATACAGAGTGGGCATTGTCACAGGCTGAGTAATGCCATAAACCAGACTGTGAGAAAAGTTTGTTAGGAGAGAAACAGTCACTGCTAGAAAGAGGTATTTAGTCATTAACTCTGAAGGAAAACTATTCAGGAAAGGGATTTCTGTGCAAAACCTGCCAGAGCTTCCAACACTTGGATTCTGTGGCTTTATTCAGGATTATACATATCAGCTCAAGAACCAGCTTGACGAGGTACTAAATTAAAATGCTGGAGAAGATCAAGCATTTTCTTTTCTAATTATAATAATATTAAAACAAAAATGCACTTCAGACAGAGCTGGAGGTGGGGGGGTTGAGTCCCAGCACGCCATGCATTTCACACCTCCCCCTAGTTGGGCAGAAAAGGTCATGCAGAGGAAATTTTGAATTGAAGACAAGTTCCAAAGGGAAATTTGCAATTTGATGGGTTCAAGCTCCCTCTGCACTCCAACTTTAAAGCTGGCAGTAACCAGCATTGCCTCCTAAAAAGCAAGCCCATCATCCTTCTCACCCCAGAGCACTCCACCCTTGTCCCCAGACTGCTTTAACATGAACAGTGAAGCAAAACAAAGCACTGATCCAGGTCAAACTCCAGCTCTTGTTTTTTGTTTGGGAGGTTCGTTTCCAAACCCATCATGCCTCTGAACTGGATCACTATGCAAATGTTTGCAGAAGCAGCAGGAGAAAGATGGCACAGGGCCAGAAGTGAACTGCTAGGGCTTGAAAAGGGCAGAAACACTTCATCCAAAGTCAGCATTAATGTTTGCCAGCATGGAGTGGCTCTGACACACCACTGCCTGAGTAACAGGAAAGAGATGTCCACAAACAGAGCAACATGATTAACCCCCATGGAAATGTTATCAGCACCCAAATCTCCAACCAGGGCACAGACACAAAAGCCAGCCAGGCAAAGGCAAAACCTAAAGAAAATATCTACAAGAAGAAAGCCAGAACATGCACAAGGAGTGCTAACAATCCACAGCAAAACCTCAGCAGAG